CTGCCTAGCCCCCGAGGTGCTGGCCAGCCTACCCCTCCAGATGATGCTCTACTTCAACGTCTACTACTTCCCGGTCTGGTGCCTGGCTGAGGGGATGATGCTGCAGCTGAAGGTACTGTCCCACAGGGCACCTGGGGATGCGGGGGGCGAGCCTGCTCCTGCCCAACCTCCCTGGGCATGCAGGGGCCACACTGAGCAGGGGAAAGGGGAGCCTCTTCAAAATTAATGCGTCCCCACACACATGAGCAAAATGCCCTGTCCTCAACAAGACAAGATGGCTCACCTGCAGCTCACAGAAACGGAAATCATGAGAACAACCACTGAATGTTCCAGGCAGGGAAGGTTAAACTGGGAGGTCAGAGTGGGCAGGGCTGGGCAGCAGCATGGGTGGGAGCTGGCAGAGCACAGGGAGCTGGGCATGGGGTGCAGGGGACAGGGCAAAGAGGATGGGGAGGTGGGCACAGGGAGCTGGGCATGGAGCACAGAGGATGGAAAACAGGGCATGGAGAGCTGGGCATGGGGTGCAGGGGATAGGGCTGGCAAGGATGAGGCTGTGTCCCCATTACAGTACCACCTGCTGCCTTGGCACTACCAGTTCCTGCTGGTCGCTGCCTTCCTCACCCTCTCGCTGGCTGAGGGCTCCCGCCTCTACCTGGGCTATGTGGGGAACCTGCAGGAGAAGGTAAGCGCCGTCTCTCTGTCCTGGCTGCGAGTCCCCTGTGCTCGGTGGGGGACGGCCATGCTGGGGGAGCTGGGGTTATCCTGGATGTCCCCTTGCTTAAGATCTGAGTGCCCATCACCACCCATTCCTCCTGGAGTCCTGCCTGGAGCTGTCCTGGGAGGGAATCACAGGAGCAGGCAGGACCTGGAGGCAGGGGACAAAGGGTACCCACTCATTTGCCTGCCGCATCCCTCCCTGTGCTGTGGGCATGATGCTCCAGCACTGGGCTTGACAGCACCTGACCACATCCAGGTATAGCTCTGTGTGGCAGGGACCTCCCCCGTACCAAGGCCAGCAGAGCAG